GATTAAGCCACTGTTTGGGGTGCCTTCATCCCATATCAGAGCTCCTCTTCCTCCCTCCTTCTTCCTTTAAAATAAAATAAAAATAAGCAAAAATATAAGAACAAAAACAATTTTTAAGGTTTTTATGATAACCCTGGATCTCAGAGCATCCTTTATTCCTTGTAAAGATTACCTACCTGATTTTTGTAACCAGGCACACAGAAACTGCTATAAATCCGACGGCATGCAGGAGAGCATGCCAACGAGGGCCCTGAGCCCCTGGGTGCTGTGGAACTGCCACCCTGCCCCAGAAAACCACACACACCTACGGGACACAGAAAGACAAAGAGGGGCCTGTGTTGATCTGTATCTTACCTGGCTGTTATGCTTGATTTCTTCCCCATTTTTTTTTAGAAATAGATTGGTAAAGAACATCTACAAAGAACCCACAGCTAACATTACACTTAGTGGTAAAAGAAGAATTGCTGGGGCCAGTGTTGCAGCACTGAGTGGGTTGAGCCACCACTTGGGATGCCCACATCCCAAATCAGAGTGTCTGAGTTCGAATCCCACCTCTACTTCTGATCCTACATGTCTGCTAATGAACACTCCAGGAAGAGCAAGTGATGCGTCTGAGCTCCTGGCTTCAGCACGGCCCAGCCCCGGCTGTTGCAGGCATTTGGGGAGTGAACCAGCAGAGGGAAGATCTCTGTTTCTCTCTATCTCTGTCACTTTGCTTTTCAAATACATCAAAATAAACAAACAAACAAACAAAAAGACAGACTGCTTTCTGGCTAAGATCAGCAAGCAGGCAAAGATGTGTGTCCTCACCACTCTTACTCAGCAATAGCTCTGAAAGTGCCGGCAGCGCTCAAGGCAAGAAATGGAAACAAAAGGCACACGCTTTGGAGAGCAGAAATAAAAGCGTCCCTGTGTGTGGATGGCGCAGAGGTTTCTGTGTCCCCTCACGGGGGCTCAGGTGTCGGAGGCGTGGTGCCCAGGACGGTGGTATTTGGAGGTGGTAGAAGCTTTCAGACTGGGGGCAGGGGGAGCAGGAGGAGGTCTCAGGCCCTTGAAAGGGGTTAGGGTATTTCTTGCAGGACCCTGGTTAGCCCTTGAGAGAGGCTGCTGTAAAAGCTTGGCCCCACCTCATCTCTCTGTGGCTTCCTGTGTGAGATGTGATCCCCTTTCCCACCCCTGCTCCCACCGTTGTCATCTGCCATGAAGTGGCACGGTCCAGAGGGCCCGCGCCGGAGCTGAGCCTGAGCAGGTGCCATGCCCTTGAGCCTGCAGAACTGTGAGCTAAATAAGACGCTCTGCTTCATGCGTGGTCTGCCTCAGCTGTTTTGTTAGAGTAATTCAAAATGAGCTAATTCAGATGCGTGATGACTGGCAGATAACATGAAAATCCCAAGAAATCCGAAAAACACATAGGAAAATAAAAAACCTAGAACCCTTTACTGAGTTCAGCAAGATCACAAGATTTAAGAGCTACATGCAAAAATTAATTATACTTCTAAATACCAGCAGCAAACAGATGGACACTAAAATTAAAAATACAAGCCCGCTTCAGAGATGCAAATAAAAGACATACTCTTTATGGATTGAAAGACACAAGATAATGAAGATGTCAATTCTTCCCCAATGGATGTGCAGGTTTAATTCAAGTCCTACTAAAATTCCAGCAAAAAGTTTTAAAGATATAGACAGAATTATTGCACTATTTATATGGAAAGGTGAAAGAATTAGAACAGCTAAAATGATTTTGAAAATGAAGAGTATAGTGGGGAATCACTCTTAGTGATTTCAAGACTTACTATACAGCTTCAATAATCAAGACCGTGCAGTCTTGGTGGAGAGACACACAGATTGCTGGAACAAAAAGACGGCACAGCAGCCCCAGCCAACCACAGGCAAGAGATTCTGTTGAAGGTGCACAAGCCATTCTATGCAGGAGGGACAGTCTTTTCAGCAAATGCTCTGGCATAACTGGATATACACAGGCAAAATAAACAAAAAGAGCCTGAATTTGAACCTCATACCTTATGCAACAACTATCACATATCATAACAACAAATCACATATCCAAACGGAAATCATAAAACTATAACTTCCAGAAAATAACACAGAAAAAAACTTTCAGGACCCAGGGCTCAGGAAAGTCTCTAGACATAACTCCAAAAGCACAGTCCATTGAAGGAAACATGGAAAATTGGACCTTAGCGACATTTAAAACTTGGGCTTTGTGAAAGACCTTGTCAAGAGAAAGTGGGGCCAGCGCTGTGGTGCCACAGGTTACCAAGCCACTGCCTGCCGTGCTGGTGTCCCCACTGCCTTGCCTTGGATTCTGCTCCCTGACCTGGATGGGGTTTCTGGTTCTTAGCTTCGACCTGACCCAGCCCCAACCACTGAGACTGTTTGGAGAGCAAGCCAGTAGATGGAATATCTCTCCATCTCTCTCTGTCTCTGTTAACTGCATTTAAAGCAAATAAATGAACCTTAAGAAAGAGAGAATGAAAAGTAAGCTACAGACTAGGAGAAAATATTTGTAAATACACATTCAATAAAGGACTAGTACCTAGAACATATATAAAATGTTCAACATTCAATGGTACAAAAAATTTTTTTAAAAAATGCACAGACTCACTGAAGAAGACAGACAGATGGCAGATAAGTACAGGAAAAGCTGTTCATTGAGGAAATGCAAATTAAAACCACGATGAAATACCACTCTACAGCTACCAGAGCTGGTTAAACAAAAACCAGTGACAGCACCAAAAATGCAAGATGTGGGCAAACTGAAGCACTTATCCACTGCCAGGGGCAATGTAAAATGGAACAGATATTCTGGAAAACAGAATGTTTTCTTGTTTCTTTCTTTCTTTTTTTTTTTTTTTTTTTTGACAGACAGAGTGAACAGTGAGAGAGAGAGAGAGAGAGAGAGAGAAAGGTCTTCCTTCCGTTGGTTCACCCCCCAAATGGCCAATCCGAAGCCAGGAGCCAGGTGCTTCCTCCTGGTCTCCCATGTGGGTGCAGGGCCTAAGCACTTGGGCCATCCTCTACTGCCTTCCCGGGCCACAGCAGAGAGCTGGCCTGGAAGAGGGGCAACCGGGACAGAATCCGGCGCCCCGACGGGGACTAGAACCTGGTGTGCTGGCGCCGCAAGGCGGAGGATTAGCCAAGTGAGCCTCAGCGCTGGCCTCTGGTTTCTTTTTTTTTTTTTTAAGACTTATTTATCTACTTCACCGGCAGAGTGACAGACAGAGAGAGATCTTCCAACCACTGGTTCACTCCCCAAATGATCACAACAGCCTGGGCTAAGTCAGGCCAAAGCCAGGAGCCAGGAACTCCATCAGGCCTCCCACATGGGTGTCAGGGACCCAAGGACTTGGGACATCTGCTGCTGTTTTCCCAAGAGTATTATCAGGCAGCTGGATTTGGGAAGTGGAGCAGCCAGGGCTCAAACCAGCACTCCTATGTGAGATGCCAGCATCATGGACAGCAGCTGAACCCACTGTGCCATAATGCCAGCCCCTGGAGTTTTCTTTAAAAATGAAATGTATCTCTATCATGTGAACTAGAACTGTGCTCTTGGGTATTTACCCAAGAGACATAAACACTTAATTTTAAAAAACCCTGAACTTAGGTTCATAAAAAAGTACACAAATGTTTATGGCAATGTTATTCATAAAAACCTAAAAACCTGGCAAGAACCCAGGTGTCCTTCAATGGGCACCTGTTTAAATAAGCAGTGGCACACCCAACCATGGAACGGCACGCAGCACAGAAAAGGAATGAACCACTGATACAGGCAACAACCACGGCGGACACCCGGAGCACCACGCTGAGTGAAGCCACTCCCAAGACTACACACTGGCTCAGTCCTTGTGTGTAACATTTTTGAAATGCCAAAGTTATAGGGAGCAGATAAGTAGTTGCCAAGGACAAAGGAAAATGGGGGAGTGAGAGGGAAAGAATACAGCTATAAAAGTCAGCAGGAGGAACCCTGGGAGTGTGGGGACTGCGTCGTAGCCGACCGGACGAATGTGGATGTCCTGGTTGTGATTCTGTACTAAAGTTCTGCAAGACGATACCATGGCGGGGGGCGGGGGGGGCAGCTAATGGGCCCATGAGATCTCTAGGTATTATTTCTCATAAGTGCCGTAAATACACTTATCTACAAACTAAAGGCTTGACTTTGTAAGAGGTGGGCAGTTGACACATGGATTAAGACGCTGCTTGGGACACCACACCCCTTACTGGACTGGCTCCCCTCCAGCTCCAGCTTCCTGCTAATGCGCACTCCGGGAGGCAGCAGCCGACAGCACCAGTACTTGGGTCCCTGCCACCCACACAGGAGGCCAAGACTGAGTTCCAGCCTCCGGGCTCTGGCTGGCCCAGCTCCAGCTGTTGCTGGCATTTGGGGAGTGAACCAGTAGATGGTGGATCTCTCTTTGTCTGTCTGCCTTTCAAATACATAAAAAGAAGCAAACCTTTAAAAGTTTAACTGTTAACGATGTTTCCAATAATTAAACAGATAAGCATTCTAGTATATTCATCCCACACCATAATGGGTCATTTTGGGCACACCCGGTTTTGGTGACCACTGCCCTGGGGCCTAGTCCCACTCCCCCACCCCTTCAGTTGGTCTCCACTCTGTCTGAAAGTTGTCTTTCGGAAACACAAATCTGCTCAGGTTGCTTGCCACAATCAGTAGTCTGACACCTAAGGGCCTCTGTGCTCTGGTTTTAGGTATGCACCCTGCACCTGGAACTTGCAGTTGCCAGGGTACCAAACCCAGGCTGAGAGTGAAAGACCTGGGGCCAGGCATAGCGACTTGACTTCGGGGACTGACATGACCTCTGACATCTGATCGCTAACTAAATGCTCGCTGATGCTCAGCCTGCAGCACAACCAATTCCTACTCAAAGGCAGACTATCCCCTCTGCTTTTACTCCCAAAGCCCAGAGGCACCGATTGCACTGCCCTCCCTCCTCCATCCCCTGACCTGGGGAACTGACCTGCAATCACGCCGGCCAGGTACACCAGCCCCACTCGGAGGCCCTTGTGCACCATTTCCAGGGGAATGCCCAACACGAGCTGCATGAAAAGGTTGCCCATGATGTGCTGAACGCTGCGGAGACAAACACTGTCATGAATGCTGTGCCGAACCCAGCGCGTACGCCCTTATTTATTTGAGAGGCAGAGTTACAGAGAGAGAGGGAGAGACAGAGAGGTCTTCCATCTGCTGGTTCACTCCCAAGTGGCTGCATTGGCTGGGGCTGGGGCCAGGCTCAAGCCAGGAGCCAGGAGCCAGGAGCTTCTCCTAGGACTCCCATGTGGGTGAGGGGCCCAAGCCCTGGGTCCATCTTCTGCTGCTTTCTCAGGTGCATTAGCAGAGAGCTGGACCAGAAGAGGAGCAGCTGGAACATGAACCAGCACTCAAATGGGATTCCAGCAACACCAGCAGCAGCTGCACCTGCCACACCACAATAGTTTAAATTTCAATAGGTTTTCAAACAGCCTGTGTGGCATCCTCAGGATATTTAATAAAACAGCGATGTCAAGGGAAACTTCCTTCCCAATTCTACATAAAAAGTTACTTAAGAACATGAGCTAACGTACCTTTCATATACTATAATTTGGTGCATAACATATTTCAACATGGGTGCTTTTTATTACAATTTTTATATTTAAAAAAATCTAGGGTTAGGGAGGAATTTTTGGCCTGGTGGTTTAGACACTGATTACGAAGGCTCCATCTGGGGCCAGCGTTGTGATGCCAGCATCCCATTCAAACCCCAGCTGCTCCACTTCCGATCCAGCTCCCTGCCAATGCACCTGAGAAAGCAGCAGAGGATGGCCCAAGTACTTGGGTCCCTGCCACCCACATGGGAGACCCAGATGGAGTTCTGGATTCCTGGCTTCATCCTTGCCCAACCCTGGCTATTGCAGGGATTTTAGGAAAGAACAAGTGGACAGAAGCTTTTCTCTTTCTCTCTCTCTCTCTCTCTTCCTGCTTTTCAAATAAAATAAAAATAAATAAATTTTTAAATGTATTTATTTTAAATGAAATTCATATCAGCTTGCTTGTCAAACCCCACAAACATCTCTGGAGAGTCTCTGAACAAAATTTTTAAAATCCCACAATGCTTTTTATTTTCTTTAAAGGAGATTTCAGATTAAATCAAAATGTTGAAAAGCAACACAAGGGCCGCATCTTCCAAAGAACAGCAGCTTTTTTTTTTTTTTTCCTCCTTTATCTTTACCCACAGGCAGAGTGGACAGTGAGAGAGAGAGACAGAGAGAAAGGTCTTCCTTTTGCCGTTGGTTCACCCTCCAATGGCCGCCGCGGCCGGCGCGCTGCGGCCGGCGCACCGCGCTGATTCGATGGTAGGAGCCAGGTGCTTCTCCTGGTCTCCCATGCGGGTGCAGGGCCCAAGCACCTGTGCCATCCTCCACTGCACTCCCGGGCCACAGCAGAGGGCTGGCCTGGAAGAGGGGCAACCGGGACAGAATCCGGCGCCCCGACCGGGACTAGAACCCGGTGTGCCAGCACCGCTAGGCGGAGGATTAGCCTAGTGAGCCGCGGTGCCGGCCTAGCAGCTTTTGTATTAGCTTCAGTATTTGCATTTTTCGCACATTTACTTAACAAATCTCAGCCAGTGAGAGGTTCTCTGGGCATCAGTCACCCTCAGGGCCACATGCGTGCCCAGCCTTGGCCATCACCGCCAGGCCGTCTGCAAAGATGTGGGAGAGGGAACACGTCATGCGGCACACAGTGGTCTGGCAAGGAGAGGGGCACCAGGTTTCCAGAGACATCACACATGAAGGGGATTAGAAATGTCTGCCCCGGAAGTTGAAGAAGAAGGTCAAGGAAAGCCACACCGCCCTCTGAGAACTCCTTGAGGACGAGGTGAACAGTGAAAAACCTCACAGAATCCACACCCCCACCCCCGCCTTTGTCTCTGCTGCTTGAGGTAGGACTAGAAGTGGCACAGAGACACAATCCTGCCATGTGCCTGGAGCAGAAATACTGAGGTCCTCTGAAGATTTAGTAATTTATTTATTTGAAAGGCAGAATGACAGAAAGAGGTGGCAGGCAGAGAGAGAGAGAGAAAGAACTTCCATTCACTGGTTCACTCCCCTAAGTGGCTGCACCAGGCAGGGCTGGGGCCAGGAACTTTCCTATGTGGGTCGGCAGGAGCCCAAGCACTTGGCCATCTTCCACAACTTTCCCAGGCTCATTCGCAGGGAGCTGGATTAGAAGTGGAGCAGCCACGACTCGAACCGGTGTTCTGGTTTGGGATGCTGCAGGTGACAGCTTAACCAGCTGAGCCATAATGCTGGCCCCAGAAATACTAGTTTTGTTCTATTGTTGTTTTCATTCAAATTTTATTCATCCATTGAATCTGTGTCATCCACAAAGCCATCCCTCTTCTGATCTTTCTCCCTGTCTTTTGCTATTTTACTGCAGCTAGCCCAACACCTGTTTCTCTTATCCCAAGTCTGCCTCCTCCAGGGAGGCTGCAGGAGCTCACACTGACCTGGCCACAGGCAGCTGTGTCACATAGTTCTGGCCAGTGAGATTACAAGGAAGAGCACGTTAGATGTTTAAGGGAGATTCTCTCTTGACAAAAGGGATGATGCATCACCACCTGTGTCACTCCTTCCCTTTCTTTTGGCTTTGAACGCAGTGGTAACAGCAGTCAACTTGCAACCACGTGAGAAAGGCTAAGGGGGACAGAGGTGTCAAGATAGGACCTAGAGCCCTGGCTTTATTCAGCTGATGAACTAACTGGCTACCTCTGTTCTCAAACAGGAAATAAAACAGGCTCTATTTGGTTAAGCCCCTGTTATTTTTATTATTATTATTAATATTATTATTATGTTACATGGATTCAGAAGCATTCTACCCTGTGCCACCCCATATGTGAAATGTGCAACACAGCCCTGTGAATTCTGAGTGCCTTACTATGTGTCAGGTACTGGGAAAATGAGAGCGATTGTGTCATTTAATTGTAGCACCCTTATGAGGGAGGTGCTATTACCCCATTTTATAGAGGAAGAACCTGAGGCATAAAAAAGGTTAACTAACTATTGTATGCTGTTACACTGTACTGCCTCAGACTAATATTTAGCTGACTGCTCCCCTTTATAATTTTAAAGCCCTTGCATGCAGGACCCACATTTGTTCAGGATTTACTTGTTAAGTGAGAAACCAGTGTGTACAGAAGCAATTGCTGGTTTCATCTCTGGCTTACCAAGCCTCTGAGTCCTGTATCCCATACCTACTTCGTCCTCAGCCAAAAGAGTCATCTACCTGTTCAAGCCTTGGGCTGGACAGGTTGCATGGACAAGGTTGGCCTCATCTGACATCACGGGAGTCCAGCCAAGAGGCGGGGCCAGCACCAAGGCGCTCGTAGCTGGATGGGCTCAGGACGCTGAGCGGGATCACTGAAAGCCATCAGCATGTAAGACTATAACAAGACAGGCACTGGACCTCCTGTTGCCTGCATTATCTCGGCTGGATGCCAGCATTACACACTCAGCACACCAGTCACAAGTTCACTTTCTGCAAGTGTGAAGTAGTGCCGGAGGGAACCGGTGATTCAGCTCTACCTCTTCCTGACCTAAAGGGATCATTTAACAACATCCAACAACTGGTGGGCCATACTGTTGGTTTGGTAATGACTTGGTCTCTACTCACTAATATTGCTATTTCAGAACTGACTTCAGGCAGTTATAATGAAACATAAAGTACTCTGGCCTTAAGAGTTAGCACTAATGAGTGAAGTTGTAGCCCTGCAACTTAGCTGTGTGACTTGGAGCAAGTAACTGCATCATCTAAGCCTCAGACAAAGAACAGTAGGAGTTAATACTTGCCTTCTAGGGAACTTGTGAAAATCAAACAAGATAATGGATGTGAAAGTGTCCTACCAATGATAAAGCACCGGGGGCGGGCATTGGGTGCAGTGATTAAGATGCAGTCTGGCAGGGCAGGCGCTACAGTGGAGCAGATAAAGCCACCTGCAGTGCTAGCATCCGTATGGGTGCCAGTCATGGCTGCTCCACTTCTGATCCAGCTCTCTGCTGTGGCCTGGGGAAACAGTAGAAGATGGCCCAGGTGCTTGGGCCCCTGCACCCAAGTGGGAGACCCAGAAGAACCTCCTGGCTCCTGGCTGGAGATTGGCGCAGCTCCAGCCGTTGTGGCCATCTTCGGAGTGAACAAGCGGATGGAAGACTTCTCTCACTCTCTGCCTCTCTGTAACTCTGCCGTTCAAATAAATAATCTTTTTTAAAAAATAATAATTTAAAAAAAAGATGCAGCCTGGACACCCGAATTCCCTATCAGAGTGCCTGGGTTTGGTGCCTTGGGCTGGCTCCTGACTGCAGCCCACTGCCGATGTTCACCCTGGGAGGCAAGCCAGTGACGGCTCTGCATGGTTCTCTGCCACCCACATGGGAAAACCAGATGGAGTTGCAGGCTCCTGGCTTTGACCTGGCCCAGCCCCAGATGTTGTGGACACTTGAGGAATAAACCAACGAATGAGAGAGCTCTGTCTCTCTCTTACATAAAAATAAATACATAAAATTTTAAAATAATAATAGTGCACCAAACACACATTAGGGGTTACAATCACTTTATCATCGCTTCTGACCCCAGAAACTACACTGCCAGTCCTTACCCAGCATGCACCAGCATGTATGAGATAAACCTCCAGGCTTCCTGCCTCTTCTCGGGCCTGTAGATGAAGGGACTCTCCAGGATGCCTGTGTCCAGGGTGATCCACTGCTTCTGAGGCTTCCACACGGCATAGTAAATAAACACTGCCAACTGACAGGGAGGAGCAGGCAGGAATGTTAGCCACAGCCAGGTGCGGTAGGTGTGTTTCCAAAGATGAGCTCTCAAGTGGGCCACCCCATGGCACAGGCTCGGAAGATGACAGCAATTAAATGTCTCCACCAGGGCCAGTGCCATGGCTCACTTGATTAATCCTCTGCCTGTGGCACAGCATCCCATATGGGTGCCGGGTTCTAGTCCCGGTTGCCCCTCTTCCAGTCCAGTTCTCTGCTGTGGCCTGGGAGGGCAGCAGAAGATGGCTCAGGTGCTTGGGCCCCTGCACCCGCATGGGAGACCAGGAGGAAGCACCTGGCTCCTGGTTTTGGATCGGTGTAGCTCTGGCCACAGTGGCCATTTGTGGGGTGAACCAACGGAAGGAAGACCTTTCTCTCTGTCTCTCTCTCTCTCTCACTGTCTAACTCTATCAGTCAAATAAATAGATTTTTAAAAAAATGTCTCTACCAGGGGCTAGCACTGTGGCAGAATGGACTAAGCCTCTGCCTGCAGCACCAGCATCCCACGTGGGTGCCAGTTCGTGTCCTGGCTGCTCCTTTTCCGATCCAGCTCTGTGCTATGGCCTGGGAAAGCATTAGAAGATGGCCCAAGTGCTTGGGCCCCTGCACCCATGCGGGAGACCCTGAAGAAGCTCCTGGCTCCTGGCTTCGGATCGTCTCAGCTCTGGCCGTTGTGGCCATCTGGGGAGTGAACCAGCAGATGGAAGAACTTTCTCTCTGTCTCTCCCTCTGTCTGTAAGTCTATCTCTCAAAAAAAAAAAGTCTCCACCACTCTCCACTCTGGTCAGGCCCTGCCAGGGTTAGGGGCAGCGCTCGTGGACACCCTGATCTCTACCAACCCTTCCCCTCATTTAAATCCCTACTGCCCATCTCCCCACCCTACCAGTTGATCTTCCACTTACTACTTAATATGAGTCAGCAGTGCCTTCAGCAGGAAAAGGGGAAATCCTAACGTTACACTGGAGAAACCTGGCAAACGGTGCCTTAACCAAGCAATGAGCGTCAGTGTCGTGGTGATGGCCTATGGATGTCTTCTGCTCCACCATGCAACCTGATGAGATCATGTCCCCCTGTGGTATTCTTTCCCCACACCCACAATCTACGCTACTCATGTGCAAAACACCAGACCAACCCAGACTGGGGGACCTTTTACAGGCTGTGTGTCCTACCAATGATAAAGCACCGGGGGCGGGCATTGGGTGCAGTGATTAAGATGCAGTCTGGCAGGGCAGGCGCTACAGTGGAGCAGATAAAGCCACCTGCAGTGCTAGCATCCAGGTCAGAGGAGCCTGGGAACGCAGAACAACTCGGTGCAGTGGGAGACCCAGGACCGGAGGGCAGCAGAGGACTGGGAAGAGGACACTCATAGAAAAACCTGGTCAAATCCAACGAAGTCTCGAGTTCAGTTGGTAGCAACAGACCAAGGCCAGGGTCTGAGTTTTGCTAAATGTGTGGTAGAAAATGGAAGATATTACCAGTGGGAGAAACGGAAGAGTGATGTGCAGGAGCCCTCTGTATGCCCTTTGCAACTTGTGTATACAACTGAAGTTGTTCCGAAATTAAAAATGTATCTTTAACCTTTTTTTCAATTGATATTTCTGTGCGAGGCAGATGTCTCAGCACCTGCTCCATGACCCTTCTCGGAAAAGTGCCTTCTGAATAGTACGCATTGTCTAAGCAGTTGTGCTCCGTCCCATGTGACCTTGTCCCATTCTTCTCCAAGCCCCTGCCCGCCGCTCAGCACCCCCACCACATGCACTCACAGCTGACCCGAGCACGGCACCACAGCTGATCCCTGGGCTCGGAGGGGAGGAGCAGAAGGAATGCAGAATGCAGACACCCATCTGAAGCTTCTGCCTGTGCCCTGGATCCTGGTGACTTCCCAGCTGCAGGCCATCTCACCAGAAAACCCCTCTACAGAAGACAGACCCCGACAGCCTGAGGAGAGCTGCCAAGAACGCTTCCACACAGGCCTGTCTCTGCTGGAGCCCTAAGAGGCTTGCTCCCTGCCACGGTTAATTTACTGCTCAGTGAGGCTCGGGTACTAGGGCAGCCAGATGTCTGTTCAAACATTGTTCTAGATGTTTCTGTAAGGGTCTTTCTGTAGGTGAGATTAACATTTAAATCAGTAGACTTTGAGTAAAGCAGATTGGGTGGCTCTCATCCAATTATTTGAAGGTCTTAATACACAAAGTGTGCCCTTCATTAGGAAGAGAGAATTCTGGAAGCATCTGCCTTCGGCCTTGAGCTGCAAATCCTCCCTGGATCTGCAGTCTGCTCGCCTGCCCTGCAACCTTTGGACTTGCCAAGCCTCCACAATTATTTGTGTGAATTCCTTAATATAAATCTCAGTCTCCCTTCCTCTGTCTACACACATGCACACACATATGACATGTGCACACCTACTGATTCTGTTTTTCTGGAGAACCCTGATTAGCACAGTCCCTGATAAGGAAGCTGACGCATAAATGGGGACCAAGAGGATGACAAGATGGACTTCCTACTGTCCCTGAGTTTCCTCCCCTCAGGCAGCCAGGCTCTGCAGATGCCTTTATGAGACTGTACAACACGGGAGATAAAGCTAAGTGTTCTGAGGCTGCCCAGTCGCCAAGGTGCAACCTGGGGGAAGTCATTCCACTCTCTAGGCCCTGCAGTCTTTTCTGGAAAACAAGGGAAGACTAGACCAGAGTCTGAAAACACACCACATGCTGCCCAGAAATCCACCATTAGAAAGTCGAATTTTTTTCCTACGAAAATTCAAAGGCAACTTATAACTTTTCTAAACATATGGCCCAAACTGCCCTTGCTAACTGATCTTACTTGGCTCATAAGGAAAAGCCAATTTGCAACCCCAAGATTATCTGATTTCCAAAGACCCCACCAGCTAAAATGAAGGGAGCCAGTAGAGTTGCAGTCACTGCTGGGAAGGGGATTTGTCTGACAAATGGACCATAACCCCTGGCCAGCAGTGACCAGGAGCATAGGAAAAGAGGAGGCTCCAGAGAGGGGCGGGCAAAGGTTCCACGTGTGCTGTCCTGTCCCTGCTCAGCCCCCTCCCTTCCCACTCCCAGTCTATTTGCAGCTCCCCAGGAGGACCAGGACCCCTACCCACCGCCACATTTACCTCCGCCAAGCTGATGGAGATGATGAACAGAGGGGGCGGGAGGCAGTTGGCCCTCTCCAAGTAGGTTCTCCGGACCTTCTCAGGAAGCATCCACTTTGAGACAATCCTGTGGACCTTCCTAGCCTTGGGGGGAGCTGCATCTCCCCCATCCTCTCTCATCCGCTCCTCTTCCTCCAGCTCTTCTTTCCCTTCTCTGTCCATACTCAGGTTCACACTCTCCATCTCCAAGTCGTGAGCAACAGCCATTGTCCACCTAAAAGGGACACGAAAGGCAGGGAGAACAGGTGACCAGATGGTCTTCATTCAGGCCGTGGCTCTGCTGGGCTTTGGCACAACCACTGGTTTCCAAAGTCAAAATGGCATAGACTCCTAAATGGACCCAAAGTTTTTACTTTATTAATCATTTTAAAAAGCATGAGCCTTGAGCCAGATGACTGGGATAGAACGTGATTCCCCCATGTAACAGTTATAAGGAAACTTAGGGAAGTCACTTCAAATTATATCTTCTCGGGCCAGCACTGTGGCACAGTGAGTGAAGCAGCTGCCTGCAATACCAGCATCCCATATGACAGCCAGTTCGAGCCCCAGCTGCTCCATTTCTAATCCAGCTCTCTGCTAAGGCAGCTAGGAAGGCAGTGGAAGATGGCCCCAAGTGCTTGGCCTTCTGCCATCCATGTGGGAGACCCAGATGGAGTTCCAGGTTTCTGGCTTTTGCCTGGCCCAGCCCTGGTCATTGCAGCCATTTGAGGAGTGTCTCTCTCACTCCACCCCCTCCCTCTATAACTCTGTTTCAGATAAATAAATAAATCTTTTAAAAATTGCATTTGTGAATCTGTCACCTTTTATTTATCTGCTCATCTGCTGACGAACATTTGGGTTGTTTTCAGCTTTGGGCTGTTGTGAATTCAGCTGTTGTGAACATCCTTATAGAAGTTTTTGATTTAATACCTGTTTTCAATTCTTTGGGGTACAGACATACGAGGGGAACTGCTGGGTCATAAGGTAAGTTTATATTTAACTTACTGGGAAGCCCTCAGATTCTATTTTACAGTGGGGAAAATGGCAGCACTGGCATCATGGCCTTCCTGGGAAGATCATTTGAGACAATACATGTAAAGCACTCGACATGGTATCTGGCAGGTGGCAAATGCCCCATAATTATTAGTTGCCATTGCCAATGGATGAGTGGCAGGAGTGTGGAAGGACGGCTAGATAGATAGGTGGGATGGAGCTGAGCCTGCAGCCTATTTTCACACAGAAGTTACTGGGAGTCAGATCAAATCCAATTTATTTTTTTTTAACTTTTATTTAATGAATATAAATTTCCAAAGTACAGCTTATGGATTACAATGGCTTCCCCCCCCCATAACTTCCCTCCCACCCGCAACCCTCCCCTTTCCCTCTCCCTCTCCCCTTCCATTCACATCAAGATTCATTTTCAATTCTCTTTATATACAGAAAATCAGTTTAGCATATATTAAGTAAAGATTTCAACAGTTTGCACCCACATAGAAACACAAAGTGAAAAATACTGTTTGAGTACTAGTTATAGCATTAAATCACAATGTACAGCATATTAAGGACAAAGATCCTACATGAGGAGTAAGTGCACAGTGACTCCTGTTGTTGACTTAACAAATTGACACTCCTGTTTATGGCATCAGTAATCTCCCTAGGCTCTTGTCATGAGTTGCCAAGGCTATGGAAGCCTTTTGAGTTCACTGACTCTCATCATATTTAGACAAGGTCGTAGTCAAAGTGGAAGTTCTCTCCTCCCTTCAGAGAAAGGTACCTCCTTCTTTGATGACCTGTTCTTTCCACTGGGATCTCACTCGCGGAGATCTTTCATTTAGGTGGTTTTTTTGTTTGTTTTGTTTTGTTTTTGTTTTTTTTGCCAGAGTGTCTTGGCTTTCCATGCCAATCCAATTTATTTTTAAATTCACCTCAATAGGCAAGGTTCCACATCACAACAGATCACATCCAATAAACTTGGGGAAGAAGAGAATTCTCTTTAACTTTTCTTCTCTGCAGTAACTTTTCTGAAAATAAAGTTCTCTCCCCTTCACTGCATCTTTCGCCCTCCTACACACTCACCCCTCAGGGTCAGTCACTTGGTCTGCAGATGCACCCATTTTATTCATTTCCCTTGAATATTGATGATTATTTCTTGTTTTTGCCACTTCCTATAATTGACAAAATTACAGTGTGTATTTGAGAGCATCAGCTTTTCACCACCAATATTAAAATATTTTAAAAATAAACTATGGGCCGGCACTGCAGCTCACTAGGCTAATCCTCCACCTGTGGTGCCGGCACCCCAGGTTCTAGTCCCAGTCAGGACACCAGATTCTGTCCCGGTTGCCCCTCTTCCAGGCCAGCTCTCTGCTGTGGCCTGGAAGTGCAGTGGAGGATGGCCCAAGTGCTTGGGCCCTGCACCCCATGGGAGACCAGGAAAAGCACCTGGCTCCTGCCTTCGGATCAGCGCAGTGCGCTGGCCGCAGCGCACTGGCTACAGCGGCCATTGGGGGGTGAACCAACGGCAAAGGAAGACATTTCTCTCTGTCTCTCTCTCTCTCACTGTCCACTCTGCCTGTCAAAAATAAATTAATAAATAAATAAATAAACTATGGTCTGGCACTGTGGCGTAGTGGGTAAAACCATCATCTGCAGTGCCGGCATCCCACATGAGTGTCTGTTCGAGTCCTGGCTGCTCCACTTCCAATCCCGCTCTCTGCTATGGCTAAGGAAATCAGGAGAAGATGGCCCAAGTCCTTGGGACCCTGCACCAGCATTGGAGACCCAGAAGAAACTCCAGGCTCCTGGCCTCAGATTGGACCAGCTCCAGCCATTGGAGTCACTTGGGGAGTGAACCAGTGGATGGAAAACCTCTCTCTCTCTCTCTCTCTCTCTCTCTCTCTCTCTGCTTCTGCCTCTTTGTGACTCTGCCTTTCCAATAAATAAATATAAATAAACTCTATTAGGGATGATTAACACAGTCTGAACAAATCCTATCGTAAATTTAAATGCCACCCACAATCATTTTATAAGGAAGTAAACTTTCACATCCCTAACAACACACTGTATATTTATAAAAGGAACTAGAAAAATGAGGATTGTATTTCTCACCCAATTTTCTCTTTTCTCCAGATTTCAAAAAGTTTCCAAGCATTTTACAAGTGCAAGCCCAGTTTAGGTCGGTTTGTGAGCTGTAGTTCCCACGCTGAAACGAGGTGCGGCCAAGACTCACGTCCCGAGTGCTCGCTCCCTTGGCATGCGCAGCACAGGGATCTGACGTGGGGCTCCAGCTACCCTGGGCGCTGGCAACAGACAAACGTTGGCAGCAATGTGCAGCGTTTTCCTTCTACCTCTCTTCTCGGTCAACCGCAAGCACGCCCAGCGTCCATACCTGTGGGACTGCCCGGCTCCCTGAGGACAAGGGCCACTGTCCGAGTCACCTTATCTGCAACACCTGCTGCTGTGGCGCTCAGAGGTGTTCCTTCCACTCTGTGACCGTCCCAGCTCTCCCACTCCTGTTGATCTTCCACCCCACACCTGAACCGCCAAGTGCAGCCAACCACCTTGGCAATACGACCAATCCAACTGGCAATGGTGAGAAATGCTGATGGCATTCCTCATGTTAGGGGGCTGTGAGCAGGCAGTAAAAACTGATGTGGCCTGTTGGAAGGCAATGGGGAAGCAGCTATGAACTAGAAAGAGGACAGGCCTTTCAAGAGAACCCTTCCAGAAATCTACACCACAGATGCACTGGAGCAAGCGTGCACGCTATATTGCAAGGACGTTCAGTGCAGAACCATTTTGGAGAAATGATAAAGAACCCGGAAAGCCATCAGTGGAGGTGCTGCATTTTCTGACAATTCTAATTCTTCGAACTGACATCTGCTCACCAGCACTTCCGCTCCTGGGTCAAGGTTCCCTTCCAGAGGGCCTCAGAAGGCAAGCCTAATCTAAGGTCATTAATCTTGTCCTTGTGAGGGTGGGGCCTGAAAACGAACTCTACAGGTTCTCTAGGCCAAAGGTGGGACACGAGGCCTTAGACACACTCTTTGGATTACCAGAACTTCGGGAGACTCAACTGAATACAGCAGCATCTCAAAACAAAACAAGGGGCAGCAGTTCTAACACACAAGAGTCTGCCAGAGACTCATCCATGCTCTCCAGTGATTTACGTGATCACTCTGGGTCCTAGGGTCGCTAACAGAGTGGATTTTTACTGCACTGTACCAACTGTGCTTCCTCACCCAGTAAGCAAAGATCACGTGAGTTTCTTGAACTTTCTTCCATGTTGGCTTGTTGTTATACCACACCTCCTACCTCTTATCTGCAGAGAGTTGCAGCTGCATACTGTTGAAATGCCACACATGTGCAGACCAAAACTGGGTGGCCCTGTCATCAATGTTCTCATCCTACTGGAATGCAAGACGTGGGGTGGATTGTTAGCTTCTAACCTTCTGGTTAAAACTGGAGATGGAGCCCTGCGTTATGGTATATCAGGTTAAGACGCAGCCTGCAATGCTAGCATCCCACATAGGCATTGGTTTGAGTCCCAACTGTTCCACTTCTGATCCAGCACTCTGCTAATATGCCTGAGAAAGCAGCAGAAGATGGCCCAAGTCCTTGGGCTCCTGCACCCACATGGGAGACCTGGAAGAAGCTCTTGGCTTCAGGCTTCAGCCTGATCCAATTCTGGCTGTTGTGGCCATCTGGGGAGTGAACAGCAGATGGAAGATCTCTGTCTCTCCCTCTCTGTAACTCAGCCTTTCAAATAAATAAAATAAATCTTTAAAATAAATAAAAAACCGAAGATGTTCCCACTATACTGCAAGAACCAAAATCCTTCCCTCCATGTCTGGAAAGTATTTCTAAGAGGAAATACAGAAAACTTTCCTACCAGGGGCCAGTGTTGTGGCACAGTGGGTTTGGCTACTGTCTGCAACACCAGCATGCCATATGAGCCCAGGTCAAGTCTCAGCTGCTCCACTTCTGATCCAGCTCCCTGCTAATGTGCTGGGAAAATAGCAGGTGATGGCCCAAGTCCTTGGGCCCCTGCCACCCACAGGGAAACCAAGATGGAGTTCCAGCCTCCTGGCTTCAGCCTGGCACAGTCCTGGCCGTTGAGGCCTTTTTGTGGGGGGTGAATCTGCAGATGGAAGATCTCTCTCTCTCTCTCTGTAACTCTCTGTCTCTCCTCTTCTCTGTAACTCCATCTTTCAAATAAATCTTTTTTTTTTTTTTTTTTTTTTTTTGACAGGCAGAGTGGACAGTGAGAGAGAGAGACAGAGAGAGAAAGGTCTTCCTTTGCCGTTGGTTCACCCTCCAATGGCCGCCGCTGCAGCCGGCGCACCGCGCTGATCCGATGGCAGGAGCCAGGATCCAGGTGCTTTTCCTGGTCTCCCATGGGGTGCAGGGCCCAAGCACCTGGGCCATCCTCCACTGCACTCCCTGGCCATAGCAGAGAGCTGGCCTGGAAGAGGGGCTACCGGGACAGAATCCGGTGCCCCGACCGGGACTAGAACCCGGTGTGCCGGCGCCACAAGGTGGAGGATTAGCCTATTGAGCCACGGCGCCGGCTCTCAAATAAATCTTAAAAAAAAAAGATAACAAAACTTTCCTACTCCCTGACCTTGCCTGGCATAATAAACATTGTTTATTTACAAATCATGGAGTTGATGTGTTGGCCGAAGACTGGAAGGGCAGGACTGTGCTCATTTACCCAGGACATTTGTCTACCTTTAAAAAAAAAAAAACACTGTGGAAAAGGAGATTTCCATAGGAGACCCTTGACATTGGCAAGGGATTTTTTTTCAAAGATCTTTCAGAGGTCCTAATTCACTATATATCACATAGTGTTTTTGAAAATTACATTGTGAGCCTATAACCAGAAAAGTCCAAGGAATTCCATTTCTGTCCTTAAAAGAGTCTGTAAACACAAAAACAAAGTTACTTATAAAATCAGCTGTCTGGGGGCCAGCACTGTGGCACCACAGGTTAACTCCCTGGCCTGAAGCACCAGCATCCCATATGGGCACTGGTTCAAGTCCCTGCTGCTCCACTTCTATCCTGTGGCCTGGGAAAGCAGCAGAAAATGGCCCAAGTCCTTGGGTCCCTGCACCCATGTGAGAGACCCAGAAGAACCTCCTGGCTCCTTGGCTTCATATTGGCACAGCTCTGGCTGTTGCAGCCAGTTGGGGAGTGAACAAGCAGATGTAAGACCTCTCTCTCTCTCTCTGCCTCTCCTCTATCTGTGTAACTCTTTAAAATAAACACATAAATCTTTAAAAAAAATTAGCTGTCTGATGGGGCAGCCATCTGGCTTGGTGGTTTAAGACACTGCTTGGGAGGCCCACATCCTATATAGAAGTGGTTGGGCTTGAATCCTGAGCTCACTTCTGATTCCAGGTGATGGCTCAAGTACTTAGGTCACTGTCACCAAAGCGGATACCTGGGTTGAGTTCTGGGCTCCTACCTTCAGCCTGGCCTAACCCAGGCTGTTAACAGGCATTTGGGGAGTGAACTAGCCAATGGAAGGTCTGTGTGTGTGTGTGTGAGTGTGTGCACACGCGTGTGCATGCGCACACCTGGCAAATAAAATGAAAATATAAATAAATAAATAAATAAATGGGTTGTTTGAGGATAAAACAGTGAGAAATGCTAAACCACCTTTGTCTTTCAGTGGAGCTGTATTTCTCAATACTTTGCACCAGAAGACCAAAAGAAGGGAAGACAAAGAACACTCCGTCAGAGATTGTGTCTCTTGTCAACTGTACAAGTCCCAGCTCTCAAACAGCACTTCCTGCACAAACCCCACTACTTCCCAGTGCACTGGTCCTTGTATCTCTGCGGCACACTGGAAGATCGGCTGATATCAGAGATCCCAGGCACCACTCAACTCCACATTCCATGCCGATTTTCTGATGGGAAAAAAAAAAAGCAACCTCATTTTCTCTTCCTTTCTATCACTAGCACTATCGAGAATTTTCTTTGGTGAGCCTTTTTTCACTCTGCAAAAGAGAAACAAAGATTTTGGGGCTGGCACGGTGGTGTAGCAGGTAAAACCACCACCTACACTGCTGGCATCCCACATGGGCGCCAGTTCTAGTCCCAGCGGCTCCACTTCTGATCCAGCTCTCTGCTAAGGCCTGAGAGAGCAGTGGAAGATGGCCCAAGACCGTGGGTCCCTGCACTCACGTTGGAGACCCAGAAAAAACTCTTAGATCCTGGCTTCAGATCAGCCCAGCTCTGGCTAGTGTGGCCAATTGGTGAGTGAACCAGCAGACAGAAGACCTCTCTCTCTCTGCCTCTCCTCTCTCTGTGTAACCTGTGCAACTCTTTCAAATACATAAGTAAATCTTTAAAAAAAAAAAAGAAACAAAGATTTTAATCACTGACTGCAAATTATATAAAGGCTATAGCCAGAGGAAAATAATAAGTCTTGTGAGATGTGCAGGGAGAGCGGCAGGCCCGGCTCACAAACCAGTAAATGGTCAGGTCGGGCAAAGCCACCCGGCTCACACTTAGCCACAAGGGGCCTTCAGAGGTACCCCTGAAATACCCAAACTCTGAGTGCCGAGTCTGACACGGCCAAGGACTTCCAGTGTACTCTTCTTTAAATTTTATTTTATTATTTATTTGAGGCAGAGTTACAGAGAGAGAGAGACAATCTTCCATCCACTGATCATTCCCCTGATGGCCACAGTGGCCCAGCCTGAACCATGCCAAAGCCAGGAGCCCGGAACTCCATCTGGGAGTTCTCCCACATGGTGGCAGGGACCCAGATACTTGGGCCATGTTCCACTGCTTTCCCAGGCGTATCATGAGGGCTGGATCAGAAGTGGAGCAGCCAAGAACCAGCGTTCACATGGGACTGTCCGCATCACAGGTGTGGCTTACCCTGCTTGCCACAACGCTAGCCCCATTCTTTCGATGACACTTACGTACTGGTCATTTTTCAGATTCTGTGGGAGATTCCTACTCTCAGCTTGGTGGACAACAAGGATCTCTTCCCATAAGAGAAGCCCAATGTGCAAGGAAGCTAGGGCTCAGGTATGTGACCTGGGCTGGACCAAACAGCTGCGTTTATTTGCTTATGATTTTGAGCTGGGGATGGGACAGCAGTATCCGGTGTGCAGACAGCTTCGTTACTGGGGTCAGCGTGGTATCCAGTGCCCATGCCAGCTGTATCCTGGCGGAGGCAACCAGGGGGCTGCCCTCAGCTGCCCGGCTCTGGGAGGGGACATCAGTGTGGTTCTAGGTAACAGAGTTTCCTTGGTTTCTGTTGACTTCTCAGTCTTGTCTCTGGTGACTCCGCCCCACCCACGGAGCCTTCAATAAAACTCATTTCCTGATTTAATCAGTCGAGATCTGTTCCTGCCCCTTACCCCAGGGAACCTGACCGACACACCCCAGTAGCCAAGAATTTCTTCTCGACTATCTGGAGTCTTCCTGCTGCGAGTGACGCTCACATCGCGTTGTGTTTGGATCAGACCTGTTCCTGGTCTCCACGCTGCCGCTTCCTGGTTGTGTGACCAGGGCTGAGCCCCAGCTCCGGGCCACCTGCACAGTGCTCTCACCTGCACACAGAATGGCCTGCACCGCCTTAGAACCCGGAGGCAGTTGTTCAACACCTGTTTCCATCCAGGTTCCCGGGGCCCACTGCGGAAGGAGAGTGAAACAGGCTCCATAGCTCTCTGGCCGGCACACCAGA